GAATCTTCTAAACAGTCATCTCTGAATCATAATGCAAATTCCATTTACTGAAAAGGTGGTACCTTTAATATAACAAATGAACACGTTTAATGACTGATACTTTCAGACATTACAGCATCCCTCGTGTTTTCAGTAAATGGATATAATTTTCTCTGCATTACCCTATTATTATTCTTTGCTAGCATTATGAAGCTACGTTCTCAGCTGCGGGTGTTTTCCACCCAGTGCATTTGAAGATGGCCCAAACAACACAATTTGAAAGACATCTGCCTCTGTATCCTCAGCTAAAAATGCTGCAGGAGAGACAGAGGAGCTGGGTTGGTGTTTTATTCCTATAAAGTATTTACTGCTTGCACTATGTTTCGGCAGGGCCACGCTCTGCCACCGTTGCGACCGTATTTACGTTGGAAGGGGATCTCCAGCTGCATTTCACTTCAAAGGGAAATAAAGGCTGTGGTGTATAATCAGCATCACTTCCTCGCTCTGAAGAAGCCTGACCCATCTCCCATTGGGGAGCAAAACACTTGGGGAGTGAGCGAGCAGAAGTGGGTCACCCTTGTAACTCTCCCGAAGGGCCACGCGGGCAACCGCACACCGGGCGCCGGGTCGGATGCTCACACGGGGAGAGAGGGAAGGCAAAACGGTCAGGAGGGATCAGCAACCCCTGAGGAGCATTCCAACTGGTTCTGAGAGACACAGGTTGCTCTGAAAGGGAACCTGCTGAAGTGCAGTAGCTGCTCTCACTTGGAACTGCGAGCGTTACGGCACCGAATCGCCCTGGAACAACACCGCGGTGTTTGGAACGCCGCGAAAACCTGCCAGTTTTACTTACAGACAAACAGAAGTAAACATCACATGAAGTCACACGGGAGATGTGACAGGTTTTCATCCTTGACCTTAAGAGAGAGAAGCTGATCTTTCTTCTGAGCTCCCTCTGAGCAACAACAACTCGCTGGCTTCTCTTCCGCGAGTCTGACCGAACCTCCCCAAACTCCCCTTAAGGGAAGCACTTCAAATAAACTAATAGGACGGTAAACATGGTGGCTTGGAATTTATGGGGTTTAAGATGATGGCTTGGAGCCAAAGGGTGAAGCTGCAAAGGGTCTTTATGTTGGTTTTTTTTGGGTCAAGCCCCGTGCACCTGCCCGCCCACGGGCAGCGTGAGCCGCACGCGTCGGGTTCTGTTTGCAGCTTCCAGATGACATTTTTAAGTAGTCCCAGCCTAAGTCAACTCCAAATCCTGTTTGTTATTGATGCTCCAAAGGCCTTTTTACTTACATACCAGTAATTACTGGTTATGGCAGAGATAGAGCAAGTCAGGTATCAAACCCCTCTGTTCTGGCT